TATGTTTTTAGTTACATCATTTGTATGGCTATATCTACCACACGAAGCAGTTTCAAATATCTTGGAAAATATTATAGAAGAATGAACCAGATGTAGTTTTATTTTTTAGGTATATCTAAGGTTTCCTTATCGACAATACGTCAAAACATTATTTTCCTTCATTCAGCTTGTATTCTGACTATATTTATTCCGTGTACTTAAGTTCATCGCGCTAACATAGAATTCGTACGAGAATCAATCTGTTACGCAGGATTGTCAAGATAATTAAAAAACATGGTTAGGCTTATTCATTCTGTTCTCTGGAGACATCGGGATTTTTTTATTAGAATGCCTTTAACATTTAATTTTATCTATATATTTTTGGGGCAGCTCGTATTATTGATGTTGCTAATGGAACGAGCGATAAATATAAAAATTTATTTATTTGAAATCATTTAAAGATTAGACAACAGAAAAGAGATATACGAGGGAGGTCCGATAAATACTTAGCCTCCACGCCCGATGTCGCCACAAGTACATTCTCGTGTTCGCGGATTTTAGAAATGGAAAAATAGTAAAACAATTTGTTTTTCTTTTATAGGCTAAGTACTTATCGGAATTGACTTTAGTTTCTCTGCCATCTTGTCGTATTACTACATTTCGGTTTAGGGTAGTGATAATTACATGATCAAACAAACGTACCTGTAAGTGATGTTCGATCTTAATTATGTGAAGGCCTCGTCGAAATAAATAGAATACCCTGCAGGTTATTCTATTTACGAGACGAGGCCGGAACGTATGTATAATATTTCCGACAGTTGAGAATAAAAAATCTCATCCAGTTGATATTAGCTTAATATTATACGTATAATGCTGAAATTAGAAAATTAGTTTGACTATCCTGTGTAACTGATTCCGCTTACACGGTAAATGTCACTAAAGGAATTTTATGCTGCTATATCCGAAGTATATTGATGAATGAAAATGAAGAAATTTTGGTTAATGTGTTGAGATATACAGGGTGTCCCAGAAGTCGACGTCAAGCCGAAACCGGGTGATAGGCAAAGTCATAACAGCTATCAGAAAAATATTTAAAAAAATTTTATGTATGTGTTTTGAAAATTATAGGTCTTTGAAAAAAATATACAAATTTCACACCCTACGGCAGTCTGTCAACTCCTGTTACTACAAATACTAACTTTTTTTGGATTTTATTTTTACAATGTAATGATGAATAATGCATCTTCAAACTGGTGTCTCAACCTTACTGCCAACTTTTCTCGTTCAGGAAAAATTGACACTTATTTCCCAACCAAGTATTCCAAAGTAAAACTTTGCTTAACTTTAACTGGTTGTACTGGAAAAAAATGTACTACGAGAGTTTGGCAAGTAACATTAAAAGTTGGCGCATTTAATGAGGATTCCAAAATGGTATAACACTTAGAAGATTACTCGTTAACTTATGCACAATTTTTATTTGAAGAAAAACTGATGAAAATTTTTCAAAATTTCCTAATTAAACAGCGATTATGAAAACGCACAAGGACCCTTAAGGATAACTGTTTGCAAAACAGTGGGCATCAAAATGCTGCTGCTGATGATTCACCTTTACAGCAAATGCTCAAACTGTTTTCCTTCAGCCGCAATACACGCTAGACATCTTCTTAAAAAAGATCGGGTTACCAAACGAGCGAATCCACGGTTATTAACAAACTCAGCTGCTTCCAATAGTCTTTGCCGTAGCTCAGCTACGTTTTGAATCGGCTTGAAATACACTTTTTCTTTTACAGTTCACCACTAAAAAAATCTAAAGGATTCAAATCAGGTGATCGGGCTGGCCACGGTATTGTACCAGACCGCCTTATCCATCTGCCTGGAAAATTTTGATCGAGATACTGTCTCACTGAGAGTGCATAGTGCGCTGGGCAGCCATCATGCTGAAACCACATGTCGCTGTAGATACTCAGTGGCACGTCCACCAATAAATTTTGTACATGATTTTTCAAAAAATCCAAATAAACTTCAGCAGTCAAAGTCTCTGGGAACTCAAACGGACCGATTATTTTACCATTTAATATTCCTGTCCAATGGTTTATCTTGAAGCGATATTGAGATTTCTCTTCTCTCATCAAATGTGGGTTTGCTACGTGCCACTCGTGTAAGTTATGCAGGTTCGTGTACCCATCTTTCTTAAATGTGGTCTCATCTGACTGAAGTACTCGGGTCTTCTTTGACAGCTCCTAGCACCACGTCTTCGTAAGGAAGGAAAGATCTTCCCTCACCGTGTGATTGGTTTGGTAGTTGTCCCTCTGAGAACAGTAAGCGGTGCACATTTGTGAACACTCGATGATCTGGATGACGAGCTGCATTCGGGTACCTCTCACAGTAAAGTCTCGCTGCAGCACTAGCGTTGCATCTGCATTCCCCATAAATGAGGTGCATGTTAGCAAATTCTTGTACGGTGTACACGGACATAGCGGCACTGCACAATCACACTATCAAAGATAGTCTAAGGAAAGCAAATGTTGTTTTGAAGAGCAATTAAACAGTCCAAATCCAAATCACAAGCGATCAACAGTCCAGTTCGCGAATCCAAAATTAGTAACAGTACGAAATCAACAAGCACGAACATGTAAAGATGCGCAGTAAACGAAGGAGTACTGATCGGTATCAAAGTGTGCAATAGCAAGTAAGTGATGTGCTTCATCCATACCACATACAGCGTGTTCAACCTCTCCTGCCCCGGGATTATGAGCCCCGAGTTGCTTTTTGTCGCACAATGTTAGAAAGACACAAGGAAGATCCACGGTTCTTTGAAAAAATTTTATGGTCAGATGAGACCACATTTAAGAAAGATGGGTACATCAACCTGCATAACTTACACGAGTGGCACGTAGCAAACCCACATTTGATGAGAGAAGATAAATCTCAATATCGCTTCAAGATAAACCATTGGACAGGAATTTTAAATGGTAAAATAATCGGTCCGTTTGAGTTCCCAGAGACTTTGACTGCTGAAGTTTATTTGGATTTTTTGAAAATTCATGTACAAAATTTATTGGTAGACGTGCCACTGAGTATTTACAGGGACATGTGGTTTCAGCATGATGGCTGCCCAGCGCACTATGCACTCTCAGTGAGAGAGTATCTCGATCAAAACTTTCCAGGCAGATGGATAAGGCGGTCTGGTACAATACCGTGGCCAGCCCGATCACCTGATTTGAATCCTTTAGATTTTTTTAGTGGGGAACTGTAAAAGAAAAAGTGTATTTCAAGCCGATTCAAAATGTAGCTGAGCTACGGCAAAGACTATTGGAAGCAGCTGAGTTTGTTAATAACCGTGGATTCGCTCGTTTAATAACCCGATCTTTTTTAAGAAGATGTCGAGCGTGTATTGCGGCTGAAGGAAAACAGTTTGAGCATTTGCTGTAAAGGTAAATCATCATCAGCAGCATTTTGACGCCCACTGTTGTGCAAACAGTTATCCTTAAGGGTCCTTGTGCGTTTTCATAATCGCTGTTTAATTAGGAAATTTTGAAAAATTTTCATCAGTTTTTCTTCAAATAAAAATTGTGCATAAGTTAACGAGTAATCTTCTAAGTGTTATACCATTTTGGAATCCTTATTAAATGCGCCAACTTTTAAGGTTACTTGCCAAACTCTCGTAGTACATTTCTTTCCAGTACAGCCAGTTAAAGTTGAGCAAAGTTTTACTTTGGAATACTTGGTTGGGAAATAAGTCGCAATTTTTCCTGAACGAGAAAAGTTGGCAGTAAGTTTGAGACGTCAGTTTGAAGATGCATTATTCATCATTACATTGTAAAAATAAAATCCAAAAAAAGTTAATATTTGTAGTAACAGGAGTTGACAGACTGCCGTAGGGTGTGAAATTTCTATATTTCTTTCAAAGACCTATAATTTTGACGTCGACTTCTGGGACACCCTGTATACGAGGTAGGGTGCGCCATCTATTACTTTTTTACGTATAAGTTTGTGTTACTATGTGAGTCAAGAGTCATGTGGTATCGCGGCGTGTTAGCAGACTTTTTATGGCCACAATTGGATCGTATTGGTGCCGACGATCTGTTTCATCAACACGGAGCAACGGCTCACACATCTCGCCAAACAATCGCCTTATTGCACATGAAATTGCAAGACCTCATAATTTCACGAAATTCAGATGTCGGCCCCCGAGAGCGTGCGATTTAACACCTCTTGACTATTTTCTTTGGGTGTTTTTGAAAGGAAAAGTGTATGCGAATGGTCCCCGGACAATTCAAGACCTAAAGCGCAATATTCGGACTGAAATTGCGGCCGTAGACCCGATTATTCTGGGAAAAGTCATTGAAAATTTTGATGTTCGGATGTTAATAATAATAATAATAATAATATGGCATAAACCAACCTTCATTTACCAATAAAGAATTCGATTTAACCTCGTACAAAGCGTGTTGATTTTTCAAATAGAAAAAAAGTAATACATGACGCACCGAAAATTACAAACGAATTAGCTGCTGAAACTTGTTCTCTTGTTTCCATGTTCATAGGTCTTCATTGTTTGACCAAATCAAACCACATATGTATATGTTTAAATTTCTGTTTATTGTACGATGTTTCGTCAATCACTATGGCCTTTTTCAAGTACAATTGACATGTCCACTTTGTCTGAAACCTCACTTCTATAATATATAATACTGATGTAAAGTTTGAGTTACTCGGGGGAGACTGGGCAACAGTGCTGTTAGGGTCAGGATGCGTGGTCAGAAAGAGATCCAGGAGACCTTTTCGTTGGGCCACGCTCTATAATTACGTTGATCATTTTATTGTCTTCTATTTCATTCATCAATCAATACAGGGTGATTCACGAGTCGTGTATATTAAAAACGACATTAGTAATATTTACTGTCTGAAGGCAAAATGGATGAAGAAACGTGTTTTGCGTTATCGTTTTTAAATCTGCGAGGATTATTAATATTGCCTATCCGGAGTGTTTCCAACGATGTATTAATGTGAATGTATAGGTGTCTGGGGCCGAACCTGTCGTTACCACACAATAATCCGATATTCTGCCATAGCAGTAACTCTTTTAACGCAACGTTCGCGATGAAGTGCTGCAACAAGGAGGATTATTGCAACATTCATTTGATGCCTGAGCTCACGCTTCGGCCGCAAGGTAAAGCAACCTGGCGATCTACGTCAGTCATTACAAAGTCCTCTTGTAGACACCTCTATTTGTACTATCGCTGTTGTATATAGGATTTCCTCTGTTTCTTCCACTTTACTTTCCTCTAGCACGGCACTGCTCTAACCAAGTATACTCAGTGACATTGGAAGCGTTACATCCGGAAAAAATAATGTATGCAACTTGATTTTTTTGGCAATGAGGTCGAGAATGAAACGATAACAATCTCACGAAATTTTATTGACAAGTAATAAGAATAATGTGTTGGGCGACCCTGCATCTGAATACACTCCTGTATACTTTATCTGAAGTCACTTGAAATAGCATAAAAACCTTCGGTCGGCGCGTCCTTTGTAATTTCATGACGTATCATAGGCGTGCGGTCATTTATTTAGAACGATAATAATAAGGTTTTTATATCACAATAAATGGATTTTACTATCTTCTTATTTTTGTGATTTGGGATAAAAAATACTTATATTGGGAGTTTAATTTATGTTGACTGAAAGTTAAGAAATGGAAAAATTACAGAATTCCAACGTTTGACATAGGCAAATATTTACATAGCAGGTAGGTATATAAAAAGGTATATAAAGACTTACATTATAGGTATTTATATATCATCCTCGCCTTCGGAGCTGTCGCTAGAGTCATCTTGTAGAGGAATTACAACGGGATTTACAGGAGGCAAAACACAATATTCATTTTCTTTTTCAATAATATGCCTAGAACACTGCTTCCATAGGTCTGTGGCAGCAATATGAGATACTGCATCTCTTATTGTGGCCAATAGCGATTCACTTAATTGAGGGGTCTGATTATGTTTTCTTACTTTTTTTTAAAGCAGCCCAGACCAACTCAATCGGGTTAAAAATGCAGTAATAGGGAGGTAGACGTAATACTTCATGGCCATTTTGCTGAAGCAGATTGTCAACAACATACTCTTTTTCAAATTTTTGTCTTTTAATAAGATCCAATAATATGGCTTTGGTTGATTTTTGTGGTATTTCCATTCCCTTACCCTTCATAAAATCAATAATGTCTTGTTTTTTTGTGCCTGTATTCGGAATTTTGTTTTTCTGTCGGGAATGGTATGGCGCATTGTCCATAATAATCACTGAATTTGGGGAAATGTTTGGTATTAACTGCTGCTCTATCCACTTTTCAAATAAGTCGGAGGTCATGTCCTCGTGATAGTCGGCACATGATTCTTTGATATTTTTGGCAGATAACAGCAAGACATTAGGTATAAATCCATTTTCACTGCCAGCATGGAGAATAATGATTCGTTTTCCACGGTTGCATGGTGCATTTAAAATGCACTTGTTGCTGTCGTCAACCCAGCCGTACTGCTCAACATCATGGGTATCATACCACGTTTCATCCAGGTAAATCAGATTTCTTTTCTGCTCTCTATAGATTTTAACTTTGTGCAAAAATTCTTGGCGCAATTCAACGATTCGAGACGATTCCATAATCACCATTCTTTTATCTAATTTTTTGTATTGAAAACCACACAGTTTTACAATACAGTGCAGTGAGTCTAAGCATTTGTAATTATAAAAATCTTCAGGATAATCTTTTAATTTATCCCGTATCATTTCCAACGTGGGCACCAAATTTTCTTTATAAAATCCGTATATTATACGACGAATATCTTCCTGAAAACCCACGTCTATACTTTTTAATTTTTGCCCTATGCGCTTTCTGTGGAAGGAATGGTTGACTACATCTACCCTTTTTATAACCCGATAAATGATAGACCGACTGATTTTTGTCAGGATACAAATTCTGTTTAAAATTTGATTTTGCGAGGAATCTGGATTTTCGTTTTTCAGACAATGATACATATTTAAGATTACTCTTTGGGTCTGTTCCTCTAAATCTTTATGAAAGAATTCTGCCTGCACAGGTTCATCAACCATCTCCTCGTGGCTTGGAGCATTTTCCCAAGGTCTCCAAAGAGCCATATTTAGGACACACAAGAACAATCAACACAACAATTAAATCAACAAGTAAACTGAGTATTCAAAAGTCAAAAACGCACAAACTAATAAAATCTATGAAAAAACACGGACAGACTAAAGAAAACACGTTTATTCACCGCTACACGGCACTGGCTAAACTGTTTCAATTTTCAGTAGCCACCTGCACTTGTTCGGAGCTCTGAAATACACGCTTTCTCATTGGCTATGTCCACGCATAGGCGTGCTTTACTCCACGCGGACCGGTGAAACTGCCTTTGATCTTATACGGGGGATATTTGCTGCGAAATTTGGCGATTTTTGCAGCAACAGAGCGTGTTAAATATAGATATATGAAACGCACCCGGTATTTCACAGTGTTTCAAGTGACTTCAGATAAAGTATACACGTCTAGGCATCGGCAAAATGAGATGGTCGCGGATGGTGCAAAGTGGATAGTCTCCTTCCTCGTCAAAACATTAACGCCTGTTCCTTGAAGAAAGTCCATACTAAGACAAGCATGCTTTAAATATAGTCATTATGTTGCAAAAAAAAAACACGTTGATGAAATTATTTTTTCTGGATGCAACACATGTAATGTCACCGAGTATAGTGTTATATCTTAGTATTATATATAAAGTAGTTCGATGTTGTGGTCGAAAACGATAGAAGTATCTTATTTTAATTGACGTCCTTCTGATCTGTCGTATAGCGGACATATGCTGAGACGTATTTTATTTTAGAAACAAAACGTCGCATGTAGTTTTTGTGATATTGCCCTCAAACGCAAATATTTTTGTCGCTCAAGTAGTGGGAATACTGCATAAGAAGCTACTAATAATTTCTAAGAAAGTGCTCATATGAAATGTACCTGATCCCGTTTATCAGGTACATTCTATTTTTTATTGAAAAATTGCGACTTCAGGGTGCTAAAAATCATTTTTCTGTATCGATGATTATATGCTGACGAAGCTCTTTCTATTCAGGTAATTTGGGGCCGCTTAATTTGAATATAATCGTGAAGAAACCTTAAAAGGTCATGGTGCCGAAAATTTGTAAAAAACTAGTTACTAGTTAATCCAGCACTAAACTGACATCGGATTCGGAATCTACGGATCCGATTCACCTAGAAAGTAAACTTCAATTTTTTATTAGTCGTTTTCTGATATCCTGATTCTTGCAAACAGACTGAATGGGTTCCGGATTCGGTTTCAGCAGCCCAAAAAACGTATTATAATGATGGTTGTGCCCGCATACATTTTTACTGATACTAACGTCAGAAAGAGACCTGGCATTGCATTTCATACAATGTGGATATTTCAGTATGATGCGCTTTAGATGAAAGAAAGCGAACATTAAATTAAGAGCATCCGACAAAATTCGTCTAAACTGAGTCTCCACACGTTGTACATTGAATTTCTCCGTTGCTGTTTTGAAATTTGCATACTCGCATATGTAGATACTTCTATTGTAACTGACTTTCGCATAGCTTATTTCACAAAATATTGCATTATATCAACTGTAGCAGTTTAGAGCTACAATCTGTATTAGAAGGAAGATTTATCATTTTTAGATAATATAGTTATTTGTCCTTTCCATATTCCGTCAGTAGTTAATTTAATTAAATTAAATCGATAACCTTTTGTAAATAGTAGTTTACAATATTAAAAAAATAAGTGCTTATTAGTAGCATAGAATAGCTTAGCTTATATTAATTGTAACGCATAAACGCCTAAAATATTACACAGTATACTAAGAGTATAGTAACTAATTCTGTACGCATTAAAACAAATTACAAGTTGATAATTAGAGTCGGTAGAACAATGAATTAACTGAGGATTTCTGATCCCTTTATAGATTGTTTTTTTTCAGCTTTAGTAGTGAGATTTAATACTCGGAACCAGGTTGTATGGATTTTTGTAAATGGACGCGTTTAGAAAAGTTTACCTATTAATTTTGGGCACTTTTGATTTTCATTTAATCAAGTTATTTTAAATTCGTTTTTTATGTATACGGTTATTCAGGTTTATAATACAGGGTGTTCGAAAAATAGACGGAGATATTTTAGAGGGCGATTCCTTGTTAAAAAATATAAAACAAAGTTTTTATAAACACGCGTCCGAAAATGGAGAGTTTTCAAGGTATAGGGTGGTAAATTTAAAAAAAAGATACCTTAAACAATATTTACTCGTTTTTGTTGAATTTCAGCGATATTATTAAAATTGCAATAACACTCTTCCTTAGAAACTTTGTTGATTTTTTATTTTTCATGGCATTTGCGATTTTTTTCACCAAAAATTAATAAACCAGTTTTGTTCAGTGACATGCAATAATACGATTTTTATTTTTATTTTCTCGAAAACCAAGTGAGATACGAAAGAAACACATGAGAAAAAGAAGTTGTATGTTTAGATGATGCATCAAACAACAAATATTTAAGTTACATAAAAGGCAGTGACGTACATTTTTTTTGCAAATAATTTTCGCTAGAAAACACAAGACTAGTTCGAATGCTCTTATAAAAAATGCCTGACGCTGATTTGTCAACCAATACGATCGTCTCTTGATGCTCAGCCAATGGGAATAAAGAGGATTCTATTTCTTGGTAAATAGCGCAAAAAAAAACAGGTAAGATTAGTGCGAACGCTCGTATCAGTAAACAGAGTTATTCGTACTAAAAATTCCTTATGGGAATTGGTCCATCAATACGATCATCGTTTACAGCAAATACGTACGCTCTGTTTTGTTGGATTCACCAATACAAATCGTAGATTTAATTTCTTCACACTTAGCGACGCCACTGGACCTAATAATTGAATCTGGTTAGAACTAGATTAGTCTCTTAATACAACAAAATGATAATATTGCCAAATATCAGCAGAATCGAGTGAATATTTTTTAAAATATTAATAAAAAAATATTTTTTTTTCACTCGATGATACGAAAAAATGAAAGAGTCAAAAGGTCGTATGCTTTGTCAGGTAAAGGATATTTAAGATATTTACGAAAAATCGTTTAAAAAAAAAT